CGTTACTGTATGGAATATTAGTGGCTCATTAACATACTCTGATTCTGGCAAACAACCGTAATTGTACCGTTCCGCACCACAGTGCACGCCCCTCATTTTCCTCATTTCCGAGTTACTGCATTCACATAACCCATTCTTACTTAGTGCCCATACTTACATAACTCATACTCAAATGCTTTGGTCTGGTCGTTCTACGACGTAGCTGCAACTACTCCGGTCACTTTGACCAATGCTGTGCTGGCCAGTGGTCAGTTCGCTGGTAGTCCTGCTGCTCTTTTCGTCTGCTGATCCAGTATTTCCCTATTTTTTGTTAGAATGTCATTGCACCACTCCAGTACTGTTCAGTTATATTCATAACGTAATTCCCTGAGTATGCAGCTCGCAATTTTTCGCAGTTGTTTTGACCAACATTGCTTCGCCTGGCGGTCATCCTACTGGCGATACGGATCTGCCTTATAATAAGACAAATGGAAGGAACTAAAAACACAAAAAGTTTGTAATTCACGCACCGGTAATTTAAGATCAGCCATTAAGGTCGCAATTGTTGCCATAAAAATGGTGGCAGCACGTGAGGCAGCTGATCGCCCAAACGGATGTAGGCATAGATTGAGTAACAGCGCACAGCCATAGTCCAGTGCCGCGGGACTCGGCTTACCACCCAGGTAAATCGAGAGCCACTCCAGCATTCCCAGTTGAACCAGTTCTTTCTGCACGGATGACCTGCAAAATTCGTATTATCCGTGGAAAGACAAACGAATGTTTTGCGGTTAGAAAAAGAGAAAAAATTCAGTGGTCGGGAAACATAGGGTAACGTAGCTTGAAATTATAAGAATGAAAAAATGGAACGAAAATGCAACGCGAAGGGATGACAATTAATAAAACACAAAATTAAAGGGAAATTAGAAATACGATAATTAACACTTAATCGTTTTGCTGTGTGAATAGAACTTTTATTAATATTCTTGCATTTCAATCAGTCATAAATCATCGACTAATTCTCCAGTTATGCAGCTAACTTTACCGGTAGCTATGACAAATAATGCTTTGCATGGTGGTCAGTTTACTAGCCATTCTGACATTTTTTATACGTTTTTTTCGCATTTATGCAAGTGCGAAAATGCGTACTGCGATTATTAATCCGAGTTGAAATACACGGACAGACATACACACACACATACACACGAGCCATGAATCATGGCTCGTGTGTATGTGTGTGTGCATGTCTGCCCGTGTATTTCAACTCGGATTAATAATAAATTTTCAATATTTTGCTTTTAAAAATAACAACATAAATGGAGAAAAGGTTCAATAATTTATGAGAACAAAAAGTCTGTGAGGGTCTAGCGCCTCTAACTAAGCACATAGTTGAGTTTTAATAAAATAAAATTCGAGATCCATTATCCAGGGGACAGTCTCAGTGATGAATTTTATCTTTCGGTCGTGTGCAATTCCACAATCTGTCTATGAAATCGGACAAAATCCAGAAACCTTATGCTGAGTTTCTGTAGTGTTGCAAGCGCCTGCTCTCCGGCACTGTGATGTAATTTTTTCGTTTTGAGACCTGCTGCTAGAGTAGCAATTAACTGTTTGCCCTGGTTATTGACCAGCAGATAATTTCGACCATCGCTGAACGAGGCTATCGAATTTAGTAGACGGCCCAGTTCTTCTTTCGCTTCATTACCGGCATCACCTTGCGAAGCGATTACGTTAACAACACTCTGCAGTATTCTTCCATTAGTTATCCGCTTAATCCCGGATTTTATTTTACAGCAGCACAGTTTGGATTTTTCAAATCTTTTCGGTAGAAGGTATTTCTGTAACGTTTTATTATTAAGTTTCACATATGGGAAATGATTCACTGTTTAAGTAAATTCTAAAACTCTGAACTGTTTTACTGATAAAACCGTTCTGATAAAAAATAATAATGGGAGTGATAATAACAATAAAAATAATAACAATAACGATAATAATGATAAATTGACAAGTAAAAATCGAAAGAAGTTTATATTTACTATGTTCTGACACTATTTACTTTCATTATTAAAAATTTGACTATTTATAGGAACTCAAAAAAACATATATTTTCCCAAGAATTGTTAACTATACTTCTTGCTGAAATTCCAAAAAAATTCTTTTTTTTTCTTATTAAAATAAGAGTAACATCAGGGCTGGAAATCGCATCTTCAGACAACAGCAGTGCTTTGCTTGAACCGACTTATGCAGAAATAGTTTTGCAGTTTTTGAACTGTGTTTCTTCCGCGCTGAT